CTAAACGAAACAGCGTTAAACAAGATCATTTTAGCATAGAGTAAATAGGGATAGGGGAACACGCGACCAAAAATAAACAAATTTTACTTTAAATTTAACTTATTTTTATATTAATTGGTATAATAATATATGTTAAATAACACATAAACATATTCATACAGAAATGTAAAGTTCATTTTTTGTGAAGATCCTGAGTTTTCTGAAATTCTTGTTCCTTTGCAATAAAGTCGTGAAGTTTCGTTTTCCGCTTTTTTCTTTCCTTAAGCAAATGTCGGTAGCAGAAGATCACATCCAAAACGCCTCATTTTGCTTTTGCACTCCTTTCAGTAGCAGAAGATCACATCCAAAACACCTCATTTTGCTTTTGCACTCCTTTCAAAATCTGGATCATTTGTTACAATTTGATCAACGATTTCGGTTATCATTACCAAACTTTTATTAAGGAAATCTGTAGAGAAATTTTTTGGGTTCTTCGTTTTCAGAATCTCTATTTTCCAGTTCCACATGAATTCCATGTTCTGCCAGTTCTTGAAGGTCATTGTTGGTAAGGCTCTCACCAGAAACCTGCTGTAACTCCTCAATATCCTGTTCATCTATATCTTCTAGTCCTGCTGTATCATTAGGTTGACAATTTGGTCAACCTAACAATACAGCGATAAGCTCTTCTCATTGAGAATTCTTGGATACCTTCAGCCATAACTTCTTCCACACTTCGTTCATGCATTTATCAGTTAATTCTTGCTAAGCAAAGTTGAAGTCAATATTGCCTATGGCATTCATGATATTATTTATTTTTATTTTTATTTTTATTTTTTAAGGCTTTGAGCAGATCACATTATATTGAATCTGCATTAATCGAGACAGCGTTAAGCGGAGTTTTGCTGTATATTTTTTTACGAAAGTAATTGTCTGTATTAGTACCTAATATTTATACTTCAGCAACTGGCAGGCGAACAGAGATAGTGATACTGATAATGTTGCGTAATACTGAGAGTGACAACAGAAATGCATGTTGACACATGCATATTTAGCTTGCAGTGCAAGAGTATAGTCACAGCACAGTAAAAAGACTATATCAGACCAGCATTCAATTTAAATCTCTGACTTGCCAAAAATTTTGGTTATCGATTGGAAACAAATATGCTGATTTGAAGAAAAAGGCAATCATTATTTTGATTCAGTTTGCATTGACCTATATATGTGAAACGACTTTTCAAAATTAGTTGCCATTAAAACAAAATATCGATCTTGATTGGATCCAGAGGATGACTTACGGCTTGCGATTTGCAATACAGGTCCAAACATAGAAGCACTCATGAGCTCTTTTTAAGCACATATCTCACATTGAATTCTTATGATGTAAAGTTATTTTAAAAGTATTTCTCATTAAATAAATATTTACACCCATATGCATAAATAAAACCATTGTTTCATAAAATTATTTGTATTATTCAGACCTCTAATAAGGCAGAAACATAAGCACAAATCCCAGAAAGAATTTCACTTTAACTATGTTGACAATTAAAAAAAAAGTCTACTTTCTATCAAGGGGTCGTGAAAAAATTTTACACGAAATGGGGGGGTCAGAAATGAAGATAGTTTGTGCACCACTATTCTAGAAAGTGTACTTGCAGTTTTGTGACTATTGAAACAAAATCGAATTGTGTTTTATTTCTGCATGGCATTTTTTTGATAACTGTATAAAACAAGCTTTTTTTAAAGTCTAAAATATATGATTATATTGACTACATAAATTTATAATTACAACAGAAATTTATACTTTACAACAGAATAAATTTCACAGTAAATTTTCAGCAACTTTTCCCTAACTTGTGATGATTGCTTGATTAGAAGTGACATCTAGGAGTAAAATAAAAAAGTTACCAAAATAAAATTTTCATAGAAATCAGCAAAAATGACTGATTCTGTTGATTAGAATAAAAACATTTGGCTTAGTTTAGTGAATTTTCATAATTGTGTCAAACTTCTAATTCCTGCACATAGTTTTGCAGGCTGCAGCATGATAGGTCACAAACTTGGCTGGCATTTAACATTGCTAAACATTTGATGTACTGAATTTTAGCATCAGTTTAAATTTGCACATAATGTACCACAACAGTTATCAAAATTGAAGTAAACTTTAATCAGACTCAAATATAAGTCAAGGCTTAAATACAGGTAGAGAGTAATTTTTTGCCTCTTTAAAATTGGAAAAAACATTGACTAATATTTAGGAAATACAGTATTTTTTGTTATAAAAACAATAAAGCTAATTTTTTTAGAGGATAGTCTATTTGTTTTTTTACTATCTAAAAATCTTAAAAATAAATTAAATTAACAGTTTTGTATTTCATCATATATTTTATTGTATAGAAATAAAAATATTATTTGCATTATACTAATTAATAAATATAATTTATTTTAACAGGAAAATTATGTAAAATTAATGGAATTGCAGCGAGATCTTATTGGAATTGATAATATTGTTCATTCTAATCGGGTATGTAATTTATTAATGTTTTGATATTAATACATCAAATTAATATTTCAGAAACATTGAAATAAAGATATTTAATTTTTCTGAAACAAATATACAACTGAATGCTATTACTATGTAACAGAATTATCATAAAATTTAAATTAATGTTCCTTAAAGTGAAAGTCTTATAAATTGGAAGAATGTAATAATCAATTTAAAGATGTGACTGTTTATACTTACACCATGTATCATTAATTGTCTATTTTTACTTACATTGTTTTTTTATCATTAATGACTTATATAATTTTGTTTGCTATGATTTGTATGAAATTCAATAATTATTAGAGCATTAAGCAAAAATTTAGTTTTGATAGTATTTTTGTTGGGAATGCGAAACTAAAGTGCGTATCAATGTCATAAAACTGCACACGGACTGGCAACACTCTGCTAAGATAGCCCGAGACAGGAAGAAAGCTGTTGTTCTGTTGGTGCCAAAGTTATGGATATATTAACAAGTATATATATATATATATAGCCTAGATTAAAATAAAGTTCAGTTATAAGTTAAAGGATTGCCTCATCATTGCCCCAACAATTTTACAACAAATTTAAGATTTTAAATATTTAAGAAAATTTGATAAACAATAATAATCATTATTGGAGGAATTAATTTTTTTGGATTTTTATATGCATTTTGATAAATGTTGTTTGTTTATGTATAAAAAAAACACTGTTCTTACTATCACAATTTCTATACCATTTATTAATGACTTGATTGGAATAATTTTTTTATCAAATGATTAGTATTTGAATAATAAAATGGTCATTGGGCTGCAATTTGAAAAAATTGTAGACCTATAAATTTTTACTGTTGTCTATCTGTCAGTCTGTCTTTCCTTAATTTCAAGAATGGAGTTAGATATTTGAAAACCAAGATCAGATATGGAGAGCTTAGGGGCAGGAGGCCTCGATTAACTGTATATGAATTTCCAGTGCAAACCAAAAAAGTCACTCAATTCAAAAATTTTCCCCTGTAAGGAGTTAGATAGATGATGGCATGACTTTGTTGCTAACAGGAAAAGTATTATGTACAGGGGCAAGACACTACTAATTTGAGATGGAGAGGATATATTTTAAATTAAATAAATTAAACAATATGATTAAAAAAATTGCAACCCAGCATTGTGACAATGTCACAATAAATAATCAATTCAAATATAAAATTTTTTCCTATAGCTCAATTCTTGCAATTTCTCGCATGTTTAACACTAAAATGATGCAATCATTACATTTTCTATATTAAGCATTAACAGTGTGAAATTTTAAAAATTTTTTACATTTTTTAAAATTTTATTATTAATAATGTAAGATTTGAATTATATATAAAAATAACTTATTAATTTAATGTATCACTTTAATTTGTAAATTAACTCATAAAATGCGACGAACTCCTTCAAATGTTAGTTACCGCACAGCGAGACGAAACAATCTCCTAGGCAAGCTTAGGCGAAGCTAGACGAATGTGAGTTCTCTTGATGAGTCTTAGACGAACTCAACTTTCCGCCTAAACTCAATCCTTTTATACAGATTGAGGCAAATGGAATTTCACCAATCGGTGCTTAGTAGCATTATCAGACGTCCGCTGGTCGTACAATGTCTTCCAGCCAATTCGCGGTCGAGTTTCCAAAGTTGCCTGATCGGCATTCCCATGGTGACAACCGCCATTCATTTGAAAAGCAGGAAAAGCGTGGAAAATCGTATGTTGGGGATTTTATATTGTCCGAATATAATTTTAAAATATTATTCTATTATGAAAACATTTAGTGACACAATATTACATGTGATATTGCAAGAATTATTGATAATTTATGAAAGTGCTTTTATAAAGTCATATTTAATAATCATAGAAGAGAGCATCAGTTTTAGACTTGAAATGAAAAATAGTCAGATTCCTGATAACTGATATTATAAATAGTGAATGTATGAATACTCATTATTTATGCATAAATTAACAATATTTATCAAGAATATATATAAAAAATTCAAAGAAATAATTATTCCATTTATTGCTGTTTTATCAAATTTTATTAAACGTTTTGTAAATTTTTAAAATACTATTAAAACTAAAGTTTACTTTATACTCAGATGATTATTGAATTTTACAGTATATAAAAATATGAATATGTAATGTAAAAGTATGTATGAAAAATAGCAAATAAAATTACTTGCATATTGTATTAAAAACACAGTGTATGTATAGTCACATCCTTATATTAATCACACCTATCATCTTTAGTTCCAATTTCATTAATTACTATTTTGAATTAAATTTAATAATTAATAAAGATTAAATAAAAGTATTAAATTTAATTCAAAAATAATTGTAATTATTAATTAATGTTAGTACAGTAGAGTCCCGAAAACTCAGCACTCGATAACCTGGCAGTCCAGACAATGCGGCCATACCCTGGCAGGGCGAAAAAACCCCTAGTTAATTTTCATTATAGACAGCTTTATGCCTCATAAAGTATTTTTCTGATGTCTGTCTTATCAGACAAATTATTGTACACTGTGTATTCATTAATTTTCATTTTTATGTAGTAAAGGCTCTATGCCTTCATAAAGTATATACTTTTCCTTTGTTTAAGAGTATTTGAGCAGTTTATTCTCTTCTATATTCTCAAGCAAACAATACATACAAGTACAGTACAGTATTTTCTGAGGAAACGCTCATACTTATTCTTTTTTAACCCTATTCCTGATAACCCGGCATTTCACAAACTCGGCCACCCTTCGGTCCACATTAGGCTGAGTTTTTGAGACTCTACTGTATAAGATAGTGATCTAATCTCCTATTTTTAGAAAAATTATTTTATACTAATTATTAATTAATAATTAGCCAAACTATAGTTTGAATAATTCAGACATTTTTTTCTGGATTATTTGGACTATTTGAGCTTGGTTGTTTATACAATGAATCTACAATGATTTGTTAACAGAAATGAAACAGAAAGAAAGCACTTTTTTAATGCTTGAGATGGCAACTTCTAAACTACATACTGGTAATTATCTTGTTTTCAAAAACTTCTCCAGAGATGTGGGGTATACAGTAGGGCATGTTATACAAAGATTTTCTTTTCATTTTTGCAGTTTTCATTCATGGGATATATGTCATTGCAGGTTATACACCATTATGGGTCAACCATATGTTGTAACATTGAGAGCCAACATGGTCTGGAATGAGGATCAAATACTATTTTCTGAGGAATGTGATTTTAAACTTTAAAAAATATAAAAAAAGTTTTTTTTTGAAAACTGGAGAAGGGTTTTCTATTTCTTTGAAAACATGGGAGTAGTACTTATATTTTCTCATTATACAGTAATGCAAATGTTGGTTTCTTTTATCATATTCATGATGATGAATACAACAAAAACATGAACATGAATGCATTTATGTTCAAGAAATTAATAAAATAAATTTCAAAAAGAAAAATTCAAGATTTTAGAACAGGAACATTGGTGACCAAATGTGTTTGAAACTTACATAAAATACAGTTTTTGTTTTGTGAGACTGAAGGACAATGCACTGGAATGCAGGACTCTCCCTGTAGGAGCAGGACAGTCAACAGCCATGCCTAACTTCATATCTAGGATATATTATTAATCTCTTATATTTTATGTGACTTTATTTGTTGTGTATACTTATAAGAATGTGTTTAGAAGAAATGTATGAAGATCAACGAACAGAAAGAAAATGTATAAGTATGTTCTATCAAATAATGATTTTTGCAGACTATAATTCCATTGTATGTACATGAAATTTACAGACTGAATATATTTCAGATGAAAAAATAAATTAATTAATTTTTTGATAAAGGTTAACAAATGGTTTTTATTTAATTAATTAAAGGCTATATGCTTTTACATATAAACAATTTAATTCAGATTTAATTAACATAAATTTAATTATATATAATTTTGATTATGTGAAGCTTTCAAGAAAATTAGATTTATTCTATAATAGAAATTGTCTTTTTTTTTTTTTTTTTATGTATAAAAGTTATTATATATATAAAAATTTTGTAATTGTATTGGTGATGCTTGTTTTATACATCATTTTATTTTATATTTTTGTATGTAGTTTGAAACAGCTTTATAAAAGTTATCAGATTAATATTAAGGGATAGAAGCATTTATGATTTTTGGTGATTATTTACAAGTTAAATTAAAAATTTATTTAAATTTTGTTATTTGATAGATATATATTTTTTTTTTATTAGGAATTTATTCGTGAGGGATGTCTACAAAAGTTATCAAGAAAAGGTTATCAACAAAGAATGTTTTTCCTGGTACTTATTATTTTTTTTTAAATAAAAATATTGAATGCTGTATTATATGTGAAGTGTTCAAACCAAAAATGTTTTCAGTTTTCAGATATGCTTTTATATACTAGTCGTGCAGCTACTCCTCAGTTACAGTTTAAAGTTCATGGGCAGCTGCTTTTACAAGGAGTTATGGTAGAAGAAACAGAACCAAGAATGGGAGTGAATCATTGTTTCACAATTTATGGAGGAAATCGAGCACTTATGGTGGCTGCTAAGTAAGGAAATAAAATTATATTTTTATTTATGACTAATTTTGCTAACTACAAAATTTTAATTACACAAATGCATAAAACTTTTTAACTTGATATTTTTAAAATTTTATCCTTAACTAATGTTTTGGCCATTTTTAATGGCCTTCATCATGCTGTTCTATGAATTAAACACTTTTTAGATGTAACAGAACCAATAGAACATAGAATTCCTAACATCATTTGAATCCTGGAAGATAGCAATGATTGGAGCTATAATTTGAAAAAATTGTAGACCTATAAATTTCCACTCTTGTCTGTCCTTTTTTAATGTTGAGAACAGAGTTAGATAGATCAGATATAGAAAGCTTAGGGGCAGGAAGGCCAGATTAACTATATACAAATTTTCAGTGCAAACTGGAAGTCACTTTATTTCAATACAAAAATTTTTCCCTGAACAGATTTAGACAAATGACTGACATAACTCTATTCCTAACAGAAAAAGTATGATGTACAGGTGCAAGACATTACTAAAAATATTGATAATATTGTGGTAAAAAATTGCAGCCTAGCATTGTGACAATGTCACAATAAATAATTGCTCATTGATTATAAATTATGAACAAATATTACACAAATCGATTTAAAGAAAAATTCAGCTACATAAATTTATAATAATACCATAATGCATAATATAATAATACCATGGACTATATATGGACTGGACCATAGCAACATATGACTTGAATAAGGCTTTTTTAAAATTTAATAAAATAGATAAATAGACAACACTTCTATTTCAGTTATTAATTTATTTTTCTCAAGTGAAATATAACATATAATAAAATAAGGAACAATCATCAAGCAAGCAGCCTTCTGGGAAATTGGGAATTTTCTGATGGATTAGTCCACCATTGACTGAAGGAGTCCATTTACTACTTGTATTAGTAAGAGTTTTTAAATTAAAAACCTTTGTACACAAATACTGGAACACACATAAATTAACACTCAAAAAACCTTAACAGTCCAGTACTAAATATTTAATAGAAAACAAACATTTTCAACTGTACTTTTGATCTTCAAGTTTAAAAATACCAGTGAGATTCGAACAAATGAATTCAAAGAACAAAAATTATGAAATTATTTTCAAAAAACCTGGAACAACACAAGTGGGTTTTAAAACCATGGAACATTCTAAGCTTGTATGTATGGCAATCCCTGCATCAATAGTTAGAAACCACACCCCCACCCTCCTTTTGTTGGTATATGTATGTAGTTATATCACATATACCATTCCATCACCATGGTAACATGCATGCATAACTGTTTACACATAAGCTTAGAATATTCCATGGTTTTAAAAACCTGCTTATGCTGTTCCAGGTTTTTTGAAAATTTCTCGTAATTTTTGTTTTTCAAATTCACTTGTTCGAATCTCACTGATTTTTTAAACTGTAGGAGACTGAAAGTACAGTTGAAAACATTTGCTTTCTATTAAATATTTAGTACTGGACTGTTAAGGTTTTTTGAGTGTTAATTTGTAAGAGTTTTTCTTAGATTTTACATTGATGTGTGACAAACATAATGTAAAATTGAATTTTAAAATATTTTAGAATTGTCAGTTATATAATTTTTACAGGTTAATTTACAAAATTTGTCTTCTATTTTGAGACATAACAACAGCCAAAAATATTCAGCATTTAAAAAAATTTAATGGTACATGCTATGTTTTAAAAAGATTTATCTTATATCAGTTTGACCAAAAAAATGAAGTTTCATTTTTCACTTGCTACAGTTTACACCAAAATCAAGTAACATTTCAGTGATTGTATTTAATGTTTTGTTTTCTAGTTCTGAAGTTGAAAAGAAGAAATGGTTGGATGATTTGAGTGCAGCTATTCAGAGAGTTCAAGTGCAACGAGATATTTCCAAAATAATGTATTCTAGTCTACATTCATGTAGTAAGTTACTATTATTTAAAATATTCACCACAGCAAAAACTGGCTGTTTAAAATAAAATTACACATACCAAATACACAAAAACCAGTAAGTGGAATAAAAATATTTAAACATTTTCATTCATTTGTAACAAATATTAAATATTCTACAGAAAAAAAGGAACAAGCAATCAGATATGTTTAAATACAAAGATTTGAAGTGTGCACATGTGCAGTGGTGTAAAGTCACTGAACAGCACATAATGTCAGAATATCTGAGTGGTTTCATATCATATGTGGGAGCATTAGGCACAGAGACAACTCTCCAGTTACATAACTTTCATTCCATTTTATTATACAAAAGATGTTTACAACTGCAAAGTCTTCTGTCAGTAAGAGGAATCAAGCCTTCTGAATCTTCTCCCTTTTTATGGAGAACAAGGGTCTTCAGGTACAAATCCCCAAAGTCCTTTTGGAGGTTGATGGCCCCAGGGCATTGTTGGGTGGCAATCTGCAGCAAGAGAAAGATGACAAGTCCAATGTAGAGTTGGTGATGCTGGATATCCTTTTTCCAAGGAGGGATGCGCACAATAAAATGACAGGTCAAGAAGCTATCCATGTCTTTGAAGTTTCAATTTTTATAACTTTCAGGTCCCAGATCAACTATTCCGATTGGTTGGTCTCACTCCTCTCTGCTTTCCAATTGGTTGTCACTCGTTACTAAGTGTAACGTGATCAGAACTTAGATTCCAGGATGAGTCAAAATCATCTGTCAATTCAATCTCTATCGAAGATGGTTGATCTTAGGACTTACATTATT